CAAATATCGGCTTAAATATCGGTGGGGTGGCCGATGTCCGATATTCAGTTTTAAGGCCGATACCGATAGGGGGCCGATTATATCGTGCATCCCTACATTACATGGTTTGGGACGGCCCTTAATGTGGTGGACCCTCAATGGAAACACGCTAACAGAGGGTTAGTGCTCAGGGGAAGAGTTTAAGGCCGGTTTGGGATTTAGCCTTTCTCATGTGTTAAATTCTCTTCTTTCCTTGTTTTTCTTCTTCTATCACTCAATTTTGCTGCTCTTACATCACGTCCTCTTATAGTAGTGTCTGGTCTGCTCTTCGGTTTTCCAAGTCCATTTCAGGGTCCAGAATGGAGCTCAAAGCGACATGATCCACTCCTGATTTAAGAACAATGTTTGGGTTTTCAGTCAGCATGGTTTCAAATTGACAAATCGAGGAGCAAACTAGTGGCCAGGCTAAAAGACTGGCCTGCGCTTTGACAGCAAGTGTCTAAGGAAATTTGAGACTTTTAAATACAGCTGTAAGATAAGACATTTAGATCAAATGTTGGTCCCTTTTTATTAAAATGGCCCAAACACAGGCAGGCAGAACCACATGTAAGCCAGACTGTACAGCTTCAGAACTAACATCCAGCTGGAATGTATGTAACTGGCACCGAAGCTGCTCAATGATTGCATTATACTGAACTGAGTGTAAATAAATTGGATCTTTTTAAATTGCCTTAAGATGTGAATTGGATTCACACAAAAATTTTATTAAATTAAGTTTATGTGAACAAAACAGTGTAATTACAAAAAAAAGAAAACATGAAAGGGCCACGACAGATCAACAATCTAATCCTTTAAGAAGTGGCGTAAAACAGGAGGCAGAAATACTAAGGAGGGAATATTAGGACAAAGATCAGACTTAAGTTAAAGGGTATCTATTAGGAAGTAAAAGAATAAAGGAGATGAAAACAACAAATTAATGTGGAAAGAATTACCTAATGAAACACTTGGATCATAAAACAAATTCAACTTTAAATAAAAAATGAAATCAGAATCAACAAATCTTAGAATGAATAGAACAAGGATAACATAGAAATTAAAAGCTAGAGTGACTCATTAAACCTCGGCCCATTTTAGATGGATAGTTAATCTTAAATGAAAAGTTTTCCACGTTTTATTCAGGAGGATCATTGGTGGAGCACCACCCTCTATTTCTATATCCTTTGTAAATAATCATTAACTTTGGCATAAGTAACCCCTTGTATAAAAATAACAATGTTTTAAAGGTACATAAGATATAGTTAGCATATAATATCTGAGGCAGAAGTTGTTTTAAGCATCTCGGCTCCTCTGTGATAACCCCTTACCTTCAGTCTGTGCCACTGGCTCATCTGGGTTTATGATAAACAAAGTTCTCCTCCTCAGGTAAGATATTAACTACCGATTACCTTTCAACAGAACCTCACTTCAAGGATCCTCATCTCTCACTTTAAAAACGCTGTCCTTTCAGAAGCTGTGCTTTAAATCTCTTTCTATATGTAAATCAGCCTGACAACTGTACAGACATATGTGTTTCTGTGTTGGTGCCATGTTTATAAAAACCTCTTCATTTTGACATCTTCTAGTGTGTGAACTGAACTGCTGGCTGAAATGTGATGCTTTGCTACTGGTTTATTACCTTATTATTAGCTCTGTGCATAAAGCAAGTAGTAAAAATTAAATACACATTCTTATAAAAGAAAATTGTTTGTGTGCTTTTCGCTCGCTCATTTGTTAACTCTGGCTGTTGCATTTGATCATTGGGTCTCTTGGGTTTTTAGATACAAAGTAGGAGTCCGTTTTCATGATATGTTTGGTTTCATCTAGCTGAGATTTATAAATGAAGCGTGGCATAAAATGATAAACCAGCTCCCATATGCTCATTAAAAACTGAATGTTTTCAGCTGTTGACTTCAGCTGAATGTGCAAAACTGCAGGTTTAACTCATCATATGAAGAGAGAAAAACGGGCTGAGCAGCTGTTGCAAATTTGTAATAATAAACTAAAAACATTTCAGTATTTGTTTGTTTTTTTAAATATATACTTTACATATATTTTTATTACTATCAAAAAATCCTTACAATAGGATAGTCATTTTCAGTTTAGAGGACAATCTGAGCTGCCCTCATAATTACTGTTCAAATTTGTACAGAAAAAATAAGTATTATTTTATATGCAGGAACATTTATTCCCCTGTTTAATTTATGTACATATTTATATGTATTTATTTAGTTAAAATATTTTATAACATTATTTTAAGGCACTTTTCAAGATCTTTACAGTGAATTCACATTCAAATACTGACACTCTAGCTGGATTCTATTTTTAAACATCACAAAAATATATGTTTATTTGTCAAAATATATTTATTATATTTTATATTATATTTTAGTTATGTTTTTTTAGAACTATATCTGAAACAAAAAAACTAAACAGAAAAAAATTATTAATAAATAATAAAAAGGAATTACAACTATCATCTAATTTAAAACCAGAAGTAAAAATGAAATAAAAATAGAAAATACTGAAATATTAACTTAACACCGAAAAGATGAGCCTCTTTCTTAATTTAATAAAGATTTTGTAAAAAAAAAAATTTCAGCGTTCAGTGTTTTCCACCTAAAAAGAATCGTGTTGTACTTCATTGGCGCTGCTACTTTCTGTGTATTATGAAGCAAAGTAGTGATAAAATCATTTTTACAGTGAGGAAAAGAGTGGAACAATCAATCCCAGAAAGAAATCATTAAGTATGTATGACTAAATCAACCAATATTAAAGGAATTTAGGAAAATAAATTTGTATAAAGGAATAGGAAGATGACTATAAAGCTATTGGAAAATACAATACTTTGTTTGTAAATAAAAATAAAAAATAGAGACACAAATCAGCGATATGGCTGAATGAGAAATCACCAGTATATTGAATTATGAACAAAAAAATATATGAATTACCCAAAAAACTCTTAATTAAAATGTCTATGTTGTTCCATATCTCCTTCTCCTGATTGATACTTTCATGTTTTTATCTTTCAGGATCTTTTTACCAACTACAGCTTTTAAAAAATAAAGGTTGGAAACAATTAAATCTCAGAAAATATCCTCTTAGCCTAACTGATTATTGATTGAAGGAGACTTTTTTTTTTTACTTTTATTTTCAATTTTATTTTATTGAATATAAAACATGTTTTATTATTTTTATCTTTAGGTTTTTGTTTATGTTTTTCAGTATGTATTATTTTCTTTTATAACACATTTTTATTTTTCTAAGATCTTCTGTAGTTCTTGCCATATTGTTTTAGTTTAATTAAGTCAGTGTTTCTGTAAAGTCATGCCATTGTTTTCTCATTTCTTTAGTTTCCGTTTTCCATGCCCAGTCCTCACTCCTCATCTGTCTTTTTTGTACATTTATTGTTGTTCTTTTATTAAAGTCTTCAATTTCTCACGGTGTTCATCTATACTTTGATCCTAAACTTAGAATATAAAAAAAATGAAATAACTTAGCCAGATTTCATTTTAATATCACGAAAACCTGGTATTATAACAGCAACACTTTAGAGCTTCTGTGTTTATGTTTGTTTTGTGTTTTACCCACATTCTGGTTATTTCAGAAGTGCAGATCTGCCACATGACGTAAAATTATTGTGGAGGTTTTTCTCACTTTAATGAGAAAACTATACTGTAAAAAATTTCTGAAGGTCTGAAATGAGAAGATCAGAAGAACTAGTGAGTAAGGTTTGTTTGTATTTAATCACAGCTCACCTCGGGGCCTTTTTTCTTAGTGGACCAATAAGAGATCAGAGGGATTTATGCCCCCAAAATACATCTCAGGGAGGGGGGGACAACCTTTTGGAAGAGTTTTTTTATTATACAGAGTTACATACCCACGTTAATTTCATGTAATGTGTCAGTGTTGAGTTTCTATATATTATTATACTTCTTTCTGAAGGATTTTCATTTAGTTTTTTTTTTATTGGCACGTCTGTGGCTCCATAAATCACACCTCTTTCTGTAAAATTATCTATTAAATTACTCCTCTTTAAAGTTATTTAATATTAACAAAAGCACCCTTTCTAAAAAAAATAAAAAAATGTAGAGAAGGAAACACCTCTGAACACTTATAGTCTGTAAGAACCCCCCCTCCCCCCCAGCCCAACCCTTCATTAGATCAGGGTGGAGTCAGGTTGGGTCTGTTGTACTTATGACCACCCTGAGCTGTGATGTGTCATTTCACAGCCCCTCTGCGCAGCTGCTGCTCAGCCCTGTTTAAAAAAAAGAACATTACCTCAAACTCTTTGAGTGCTTATTGAC